TCTTCTGCAGACTTTAGGAGATAATACTCGAACACACACACAGACACACACACACACACACACACACACACACACACACACACACACACACACACACACAGCAGATAGTTCTCAGGCCTGCCTCAGTAACATTCACTTGTCTGAAACAACAGCAGAGATTTGCTTCCTGTAGATAAACTATATGACAGGGGTTAAACTGAGGCAGCAATGGAAAAAAAGCAATGTTTTGAAATCTAACATCTAAAATGAAAATATCAGCACTGCAATAAACACCCCACCAACACCTAGAAGAATCACTGATCTGCAGAAAAAAAGACCTGAAATGGTAACCTTAATCTCTTGGGAAGAACGTGATTATTAAGGGAAATAATGTGAAGTCAAAAACTCCTCAAATCTCTTTTTTTTTGTTAAAGACGTGGGTTGCCTGCTGTTGTTTTGTACACGGTGTTTCTGCAGCTGCCTCCTGACAGACCCTGCAGGGGAATGCGCCCAACACCAACCTTACCGCAAGAAACTGCTCTAAACTGATAGCTCAACATGCAAATACACCACAGCCACTGCATCCTCCCATGCCAGACAGTCATGGGCAGCTGCTCTGCTCACATTTACTGAACAAATTGGCGACTAAAGGTCAGAACGTGTTGGGACATGTTTACAAAAAAAGCATTCATGTGGTTGATTTGCTGTTCTCAATGCTAATTTGTGATAACTGTGACCTAATTTAAGCTCATAATAATAATAATAATAATAATAATAATAATAACTGGTTATTTAGAGGGTCGCTCTCTTCCAGAATATTGGTTTGGTGTAATACTGGACGCACTGTAATGCAGCAACTTGTGGTTATCAAATTACTATATCAAATGTGATGCAAAATTAAATTAAACAGTTTGTATATTACATTTAAAGACAGCTGTTGCTAGCATATTTTATTAGCTTCATCTAGCTAGCTCTTCAAAACTAATGTTAGCTCAATAATTTAGTGGAGAACAGTGTGTCCAGCTCACTTTTTAAATGCGTTTTTCCTGTTAAACAATGGAGGATATTACAAAAGGGATCAGACATTAATTTCATGGCTTGATACATCATAATGTGCTAAATGACCGAGGCTAAAGCTAACACGTCCCAGGAAAATAGCAGCATACTAACAAGTTGATAATCATGTAGAATAAATGGACATTTTGTATATAAACAGCCTTGTTCTTGCTTTTTTATTATACATGTAAGATGACAAGAAATAAAATGAAGGATATGACTTTTATCTTGTTCCAACAACCCATTGTGTCTGCTTAGCTTACATAGGAAAAGCTAGAGCTGCTAACGCTAGCCTAAAATCTGATAGCATCTTTAAGTGCCTTCTATAAAGTGGGAAAATACTATGCATCAAATATGCAGTTTTGTAATGATGTGGTTTTATAAGCAGTTAATAAGTGAATACTGTAAGTAGAAGGCTAGTTAGCTGTACATGCTAACGATTGCAACTCATGATAGAGCAGATAAACATTACATTTAAATTCTTCCTTACACTTTTGCTCTCATGTTTTTCCATTTTTCGAGAGGCTAAAGTCACAAGGTCCACAACTTGAGTCTTCACCTCTGGCACATCCTCGCTAGTTTAACCATCACGTGCTGAAAAAAATGAATCTTCTCCAACCTAACAAAACCTAAAAGTAAACCTCATCCTTCATTTTTACTGCCTGGAACACGCTGATTCAGAGGAACACTGTGTGAAAACTGATGAGAAAATAAAACAAGTCTGAGGTTCAGAAGAAAGAGCCATTTCAACCTGACGCATCTCCATTTGCTGAATGTACCACCCAGAGCACTACATCACAGTGACGCCCCCCACATCCTCTAAAGAGCTTTATAAATATTAGAAACTGCAGTGAAGGAGTTGTTGCACCGTCCTCAACCTCTGCAATACTAAATGTGACACTTCCGTCTCTGTAAAACACATATTTAAAAGAGATTGTGGTCATCTGTAAGTAAAGTATCTTTTGATGTTGCTTTATAGGTGTGTGTTGGTTTTAAAAGCACGACAGCCACTAATTGATTGCACTTTTATTATCACACTTTACTGCCGCTATTCTTCCCTCCTTTGAGGTTTTATCACTATGCAAACAAAGCTCACCTTAACCAAAATATCAGCCTTGAAGAACCTTTTATACGTCCTCTATCACGAGAGCTAAACGATCAGACAAATCACAGCTTTACTTTAAAGGTGTTACTGGGAATAGCCCAAAACCATAAATCATTCTGAGGAAAAAACATTGTTTTAAATATACTGCAAAACTTAGTTAGTTAGTTCTCAAAGATGCAAAAAGAAAAAAGCCAAATCATCCGTTTTTACTTGAGATGGTAAACAAGTTTGTGATTTCAGCTCAGAAAAATAGCCGCTGTTGACACTTTCACTTGACACTTGATCTGGTGTTTTAGGGTTAGATCTGAATTACCCTAATCACACATTTTTAACAAACTACCCGTTTTAGATACTGGTTTACCAAAACACTGTAATGAAAAACTACTGTTTCGTCAATGGCGTCTAGTAGCTTTGTAGAGAGTATAGCTTCAGCATATTGCTTTTAAAACAAAAAAACATGATATATTTTAGGTCGTAGATATTTGAGACTGAAAATCATATCGAAGTCAGGTTTGATGGCTAATTCACAATTTGAATAGTAGATTTTCTCTTTAACATCTCGTTCTATAGCACTAGCCTTAATTAGCACAAAAACAACTATTTTCTCATGAAATCTGGTTCATGTTTTGGTGGATGTTTGCTGTCAAACTAGAGGTGATGTTTTTTTCAAAGACGTGACACACATGAGCAGTGTTGACTTTGGGAAGTGTTGACCAGCCCAGATTGACTGAATACCACATGGAGACTCTGAATGTACCACGACAACAAACTGCTGACGCTTTAACATCCCTGACTAACTCTAACCTTCAGGTGACCAACAGGAGACTGCTTCTCCTTTCAGCTCATATTCACACGTCTACCTGAGAGAAAGCTGCCTTAAAGGACAGGGAAACTAAAGAGGAAGAGTGGAACGTTTGTGTACACGACAAGCCAAAATATTCAGGGTACAGGGTGGCAGAAAGACGGGGGATGTCCTGGATCATCTACCAAATCTGACTCATCCTGGACTGCTGGACAGAAAATACTCTGGCACTCGTACAAATATTTTTAATGCTGATCTGATAACTATCTGATCTTGTAAATCACATTAAAAAAAGACGTTTGAAATACAAAAGGTTTTTATTGTGTGCCATATTGTTAAAACACTTTTAGCTACATCCTGATTATGAAAAGTGTTTTGCAAATAAAGCTTTTTTGTATTACTATTATAATTACTTCTTTAAAATTGATTTTGTGATTCTATTCATGTTGTATTACTTTTAGTTATTTTCTGTACAAGTTATTTCTAAATTTGGCAACTTTACATTTGGCATGTAACATAAGTAACATTAAGCTGTCTTTGGCTCTTTTTCTGCTGTAACAACGTACATTTCCCATCTGTGGGACTAATTAAGGTATTCTGATTATCCAAAAGGATAAAAAGGCAGATAGCCTCAGTCTAGATTTTGTTAAGGTCAGGTTTAAGACAAAATGTATGAAACTTTTATTAAAGTTGCGCAAAAAAGCCCCAACTATCCTTTTTCAAGATGTTGTGCTTCGTCTTGGAGAATGTAAACAAAATGCCGCCACATCTCATTATGGTTTGATGGCAGGACATGTTTCAGCTAAATGTATCGGGAGTAAACACCAGGTCTGCCTTCAGTCTCTCCACTAAATCAGACAACTTGTTTCTATGCTAACAAATGCAAAAACCTACAATCCAACACGTATATATTACATTTTTCACTATTGTCTGACATTTTATATACCGAACGATTAATCTATAAAGCCTAATGAATGATGAAAATAATTGTGAGAAGCAACTGAGAGTTAAAAAACTCATATTGATCATAAACTGATGGAAACTGCCTTTGAGATTTGACAAATGTTTAAAGTAATACTTCACCATCAAAAAAGTATCTCTTGAGTATCAATGAGACTTGGATTATTCAGCATGAGTTGTGTGTTGAGTTTGTAAACAGTTGTTTTCATATAGTTTTGCTCTTGTTAAACACAGCCCCTATTTACTTAAATTCATCAAGACTTTCTCTGTCAAATTGATTTCTTATTCATCATTAAAGCATTTAATTTCCATTCACTAATAATTCAACGTTACATAACAGTAGCAGTTGATATACCAGTGGTAATTTTGTTTGTGACGATTTCCATTACAATGTTGCAATGTAGCAACATCTAACTTCACATCACCTCTTAACTTCGGTGGGTGGGCTTTTGTAAAACAACATGTTATGCTAAAAATACCTTGCTGCTCTGGGATCATGAATCTGTTAGATAATCCCTGGAATTGGGCCAGGCATTAATCCCCCTGATTCTCTACATCAAGCCTCATCTATTTGGGAACCACATTTTAACAACCCACAACAAAACAACCTAGTGTAGACACCCTGCAGCAGGGGAGATAGATGTTTCTAGAAGGTTTTTGGTGTGAGGTGAATCGTGGTCAGATAGTTTGTGGGAGGAGGGAGGGTGTGTCTGCAGGGCCCTGGTGCAGCACCAGCTGTGTTTATATCTGAAAACAAACTGAGTAGCAACTCAACAAAAGGACAAAAGCAGATCAGAAAACCCTGATGAGTTCAATGAACATGGGAAACCAGAAAGAAGCATGCACACACATTACTATGACATTCATGTGCAGCTAAACTTACTCGTTTTTCACGCATCTACTCTCATGGAAGACCTTATCCAGCTGGATCACAACCTGTCCCAGGAACACGTCCATCCCCATATGTGCCCGGTGCATCACGATGAGTACCAGCTCGGTTGCACCGGCCGGACAGCCTCCGTTCCGCCCGCCGCCCTGCAGCACGCCGGGCTGCAGCTCAAACGAGCACTCCTCCCTCCACTCGGGCTCCGTGGTCTTCTCCGCCACGCCGGTCGAGTATTTCTCCTTCGCCAGCTGGATGATGGTGTACACATCGCTGGTGCCATGCTTGCCCTTGCCCCGTAAGCCCCTGCCTCTCAGCACAGTCACCTGGACGTGTGTCGGTAACCATTTCTGGTCCTCCTCCACGGTTAGCGAGGACATGTCCCCCCCCTCCCTCCTCCTCTCTCCAGACAACCGCGACAATGCGAGGCAACCGGGGAGAGGTGGTGGTGTCCGCCGCTTCCTCCCTGCGTCTGCACTGTCACATCAGCTGGCGGGTCGGCGGGCGGTGCCGCATTATGGCTGTATTTCTCCTCTGCAAAGTTGCCGGTTGTTCGGTGCTCGGTGTGTACTCTGCGGTGTTTCCTGCCTCTCTGCCCCGGTCTCCTGCACCGTGCGGGCCTCTCTGCGGGCAGCGACGTCACGCCCTCTATCCTCCTTCTTCTTCTGCAGGACGAGGAAGTTTAACTCCACACATGTGGGCTGCATGCACAACAGAATATAGCCCGAGCACTGTGCAGGAATTCAGGGTCTGATGTTTCCACCAAAGCATGTCCACTCCTCCTCTCAAAGAATGTCAAACTCGCCTCTTTTTTGGCTGTCATGATTGCAGACGCCCTAAGGGAGGCCTCTGCACTACGAGAGCAGTGCTGGGGATAGTGAACTAAATGTAATTAAACTAGTTTAGCTACATTTTTTTGCAGTAGCTTGCTGGTAGTTCAACCTGATTCCTATTTAGATATGCATTCAACTTGTTCATTTCATTCTCTTATCGTGTTTAGTTCACTTCTGGACTATTAACAATTTGATTAAAAGAAAACAATATATATTAATTGATCCTTCTCTCCAGAATGTATGTGAAGTGCACAAATTGGTAGTAGTAGTAAAGTGTAAAGTTGACATGCTTTAACATTTTCACAAGACACTAAGACACATATTTCAATTTGATTTATGATACACATTACGATAAATGGTATTACATATACTTTGCGGTTGGTGGTTAAAACAAAGCTACACTCGCTAATAGTTCAATCTAGCTAGCATAACCATTTTTTATTTGTCAAGCAAAGTTTTCTGTGATGATGATTAGCATTATGACCGACAATTATTCAACAATAGTTTGTTCCAAGTAAACCAATAACCAATATAACGATTGAATAGGCTGTCTACAACACACATGCACAAAACAGATAAAGATCTTTACGCATCAAGACGGTGTTAGCTAGGAGCAAAACTTCGACATTTGTCCACAGGGGCCACCCAAAACAGCACAAAATAAAAGTTCCTGATGTAAAGTTTACCTTCCTGGATAACCTTATACGCTTGCTAGCTTGTTGAATAGTTAACACCAATGTCATTGTCTAGCTATAGCTATGTCCAGCTATAATATCAGCTGATATTAGCTAAAAGCACTGCATATTGCCTCTTTGTATTGTTATCTTTGCACTGCAGAAAGTGCTTCACAAATAGAGTGTGATAGTATATAATTATATATTGTATAATGATTAGGGCCTCTGCAGGGGGTCGAAAGGAAATCAGCAAATTCTCTTTTCCACTGTTTTAGAGGTAGGGTAGGTAAGAATGGAGAAACCAGCTCGAGTGCGCTAGAATTTGAAAGTACGCAGCCGAAAAAAATCTGCCCCTTCCTTCAGACTTCCCTACAGAGCCCCTCCTCCAACACACACCAACGCGCACATGACCAATGAGGGCACGAGATAAGTTTGTGCACAGATGGAAGGCTGACAGGCAGGTAGGCCATCCAGTTATTTTAGCCGGGCCGGTGAAAATAATTGGTCTAGCTTTTTACAGCGCCACGGCTTCCACAGATTACATTTTTCAATGTATTTATTGTCGAACCATTTAATATATTCATTGCTATCGGGATGTTAAGAGCATTCCATGGAAGATAACAAAAATTGTTTCTGAAATGAATTACCTACACCACCTTTAAGTTTACCACATCTCATATATATATTTGGCACATCCTGTTAGTGTTTCCACATGATCGTTTCGTTATGTTAAATGATGGGATTTTTGCATATTGTAAATCCCCTACACAGATGCTACAATTACTCTGTATATTAAGTCCCTACCAGTGCTACCTTAAGTTTGTATTATTTTTATTTTCTTTATTTCGTACTTAATTATTTTATTGTTGGCTTTATGATATGATCATTACCACTATTAGCCTTATCTTTAATGGATTTAAGTATTATTGTGGTTGCTAGTGTACATTCATTAAGCTGTTTTAATCACAATCAGAATCAGTTTCAGTTTGTCACAAGTTATATGACATAATATGTCACACAATATTTGAGTTTAAAGTAAAAAGAGCTGTGCAATTTGTTTTGAAAAGGCTGCAAAAATGAGCAGAATAGTAATGGTAAAAGCATACAAATAAATTGTGCATGTCTGTAGTCATCTTCCTCCCTTTTTTCCCCCATCTGCCCAGCTGTCATTGTGAAAAAGACTTTGTTCCCAGTTGACTTGCTTTCTTTAGTCTGTCTGAGCTAACTTGACGTGCATGTTGCTGTGAAAGGTACCAATACAAGCGGGGGGGTATGCAAGGTTAGGTCTGCCTGCAAGTTACTGTTGGCAGGACTTGGTAATGTTTCTGCTGATGTTGGTGTTGTAGCGCAAGAAAATCAATAAATGAAGTGAAGAATTTGTCGCTGAATGTGGACAACCTTCCCTCATATCTAGACACACTGTGAAAGGGATCATTAGTTCAGGTTAGAAGTACTTAATTGGTTAATTTACTCATAGTAATGGCATTCCAGTCTGCCTGTAGCTGTCAACACCTCAGCGGTGTTGTGAGGCACTAAATATGTGTTAGATTTCTACACACGTTTTGGATATCTAGTCTCTTTAAAGCACATATCAAGCTAAGCATCAATAAATTATGATATGGACAATTACTGGATTGATGAGTCTATTGACTTGAATACATTTTGGAAGAAATACTGTCATGATCTGGGTTTATGTTTTTTTGTGTTTTTTTATTTTGTGGAAACCAATATCCCTGTGTAATGTCTGGTTTCTCTTCCTGTCTTTGGGTTTTCATGCTTCCTGTGATTGTTTGGCACCATTTTGATTTTATCCACCTGTGTCTAATCACAATGCATCCCCTTGTGTTTTACTTGGATTATGTCAGTTGGACCCAAACGTAGAACATGTATAAAAAACAAAAGGCAATTTTGAAGAAATGGGAAGCTGGTTACAAGTAAACTCCAAACATAGGGAGGAGGCTATAATGCAAAAACAGAGGAAAAGCAACTTGAGACTAAATAAGGAATATACCGGGATGGCATGAGGAACAAACACGACAAATCTTGTTTGACAGCAAACATCCACCAAAATACCTATCCAGGTAGAACACAGACAGACTGACATGTATACACTCTGAACTAATCACATAAACAAATGAGGCACACACACAAGGCAGCAGGGTTATGTTGTTAGTGGGGCACAAATTAGTCCTGAATCCCAGAAATAACCTTTCTGACAGGGAACTGAAGGATTTATATGTGCTTTATCTGATCTATTGTGTGTATTGTGAATTGGGTGTTTTACATTTATGGTTCAGATTCACTAAAGTCACAGAATAAACAAACCAATTGAGGCAGAAGCAGAATAATAACTTTGGTTTTCTGTGAGGTACAATCAGTCTTTTTGTCATTGGAGTCTGGTGGCTTTAAAGGTCCCATTTCATGGCCATTTCTACTGATCATATTTCCATTGTTGAGGTCTACTAGAATAGATTTATATCGTGCAATTTTCCAAAATCACATTGGTTTCTCATACAGCATCTCTGTATAGTATGTGTATACACCAGGTATTCACTCT